TTCAATCGTCCCCAAATATAGTAATCTACGGGGTTAAAATCTGGGGATCTTGGAGGCCATGAAATAGGACCTGCACGTCCTATCCATCTGTTGCCAAAAACATTATTTAGATGGTTTCTTACCGCAACTAAAAAATGAGGCGATGCTCCATCATGTTGGAAATACATCCCTCGGATACCTACGTTGGCAAGTAAATTAGGCAAAGTATTTTGCAAAAAGTCTAAGTAAACTTGTCCTCTTAAAGGACCATCAAAAAAGTGAGGTCCTATAAATTGGTTATTTATCACACCAATCCACACGTTCACGGAAAACCTTAACTGAGACCGAAACTCTCGAACAGCATGGGGATTGTCTACTGCCCACACATATAAATTACGGGAATTATTTATCCCATCCCTTGTAAACTGTGCTTCATCTGTAAACAATGTTCTATACAGTACTGGTCTATGATTTGCAATCCACCTACAAAATTCCAACCTATGGATTTCATCTCCAGGGTGTAGCCGCTGAACTAATTGAATATGATATGGGTGTAAATTATTTTTTCGTAAGACTCTAGTCACTTTTGATTGGGTAACATAAAGTTGTCGACTTACTTTCCTGGTGCTTATTGTGGGGTTCGCAATAACAGCATCAAGAATATTATCTTCGTGCTCATGATCTACATTTCGTTCTGTATTTGCTTTAGGGAATGTGCCATGTTCTCGCAAATAATTAAAAACTGATGCAAATGTTGAATGACAGGGAACTCGACGACCAGGATGACTATGATATTCTCTTGCGGTAGCTCTGCCATTCCCATTACAGAATCCGTACATAAAAATGATATCTGCATATTCTGCATTTGAAAACTTATGGGGCATTTTGAATAACAACACCAACAACAAAAATTCTAACACTATTGTAAAATAGATAAAACAAAGCGAAATATTATTTTACACGTATAAATAATGGTTGCAAATAACAAATAAATAAGAACAAACAAACGTCAAACTATCACAACCTACCTTGATACATAGGTACCTACTATGTATTTATAATAAAAATAAAACCACATAATATCTTAGTTGCAAGAATAAAATGTGCAGTTTTTATTAGAGGTTAATAAATATCATTTATAATTATTAATTAATAAGTGTGAATTTATTGTTCGTTATTGTTATTCGCTACAATTTATTTATTGATTATTGACATGTTTAATTTAGTTGAGTAGTTTCTATAGTCTACAAAAATAGGCCGATTTCTATTTAAAATTTAAAAATGAACTAATCCGGATCTGGAAATTCTCGAAAATGAATTTAACGATCTAGTAAGCTCACTAAAGGCTTATGTTTGGCTCGTTTAGTTCAAATGCATACAATTAACAATGTTTTCTTTATGTTATAACATAATTTATGTGACCCCTTAAGGTGATTTTTCAGTTTTACCCAAAATCGAACCTTAATAAAAAAAAGGTGACAAAAATGCCACATACACAGTTTTGATTGTCTATCTATGTATTTTAAAAATATCTTATTATAATTTAAAAAAATCTTATACAGGGCGAACTTTTTGATATAAATCGTCGAGATTAATTTTTTCTAAGCCAATCCTGGAATTTTTAACTTTTGTTGATATGAATTAAATGCTAGAAACCAGTGTAATGCTCCACCAAAAAATTAAAGAAATCTAGTAATCCTTGTAGATTTTACGGCCATATAAAGTTTTGTCAAATCACAAAACACCCCGTCTATTAATAACGAAAGGGAGTTGCCACTTTTTAATGCTCATATGATATACCCCTTAAGGGACTCTACATATGGTAGAAGTCTGTAAGGTTCCTCATGACTTACCCTGTATATTTGACTTAACCCTAAAGAAATCTACAACCATTTATTTTCGTTTTTGACAAAACATTTCTTAGTGCGATATGTATTGATATTTCAAAATCTACGAATGCCTCCATCGGTTCAAAAACTATATTAAAAACATCAAAAATTATAGATTTAAGCAACAGAAAAAGTTTAATATATGTGTCAGCAGTCTTATTTGGTAACAGACAATATAAGAGGTATATAGTGCCCATTTTCCAGGCCATGAATAGTAAATAATTGATAAAAATATTTCGTACAAAAAGAAAATGTGCCATCCATATATATAACATTCATTTTACACAACGTAGTAATATTTGTTTGGCAAGAAAAAACAATGATATTATCAACTGAACTGTTAATAAACAAAAAATTTTCAACTGTTGTCGTTTTAGGAGAATACATATCAACTACAGTATGTACTTCATGAATATCTTTAGGCAGGGCTGGCAAGAGCTGACGACGACTGTTATATAAATTTCTTCTTATGAGATTTACATCCGCGGTAATCAATTCGTCCGGTAAATTTGTTGAAAGGATCCTTTTTATAATTTTCGAAGGTTTCTCCGATATGTCCTCCTGGGCTTTTCGCTTGCATGCATTTGTGACAATTCTTCTCTGCAAAGAACGTTGATCTGGTTCATGATTGTGAGTTAACTCACTCCTGGTCACAATATATTCGGCACCAACAGTATACAATTTAGCTAAACATTTTAAATTTTCCCTGATGCACCTCCAACGCACTTTCCCACTCTTTAATACGTCTTGTTTACAAAATGAAAATTTTTCAACAATAAGCAAGTCACAACCGCGTGAACTCTTTACTATCGAAACTGCCATCATGTATTATAGATGTTTTCTATCTCTTGGTCGCTCACAAAATAAGTGGTTAGTATCTTAATATTAAAAGGTCCGGTACTTTGTAATTAAGTAATCACATTGTTAAACTAATGAAAATCAAATTAAGAAAGATGAATGTAAATGTTTTAACTTTTCTAAGAATTGGAAATATGAAAAGGGTAGATTATTATTTTCAGGTATATTCCAAAATCCTATCATAAACATTACCCTCGGCCGAAATTACCTATGCCATTAAATGGGCACTTTGCTTTTGCCGATTTACTTTGGCAGAGAAAAAAATTATAACCCTTTGACATTGGTTGTTTTTACTTAGATTTTCATAAAAAATAAACAGAACTGCAAACATGTTTAACTATCGTTATAACGAATAGCAACATTAAATATTTTTTTTTCACATGTATCACTTTTGTAATTTTCGTCAAGAAATGATAAGAAGGCACACTTGCTGGTTTTTCGAAAAAGGTGGCAAGAATTGTGATATTTTTAAATTTATCACCAGTGATTCCACATGTAGTTACCTGACTTATTGGATTATATAGACTTTGCTACCACATTCAACTGAACTTGGTTGTTATTAATATTTATCACTGTGACATAGGCGTTTTTGTTAAAATGTTTCATTTTAAACTGCTGTAAATACCTGTATAGGTACTCATTCCGCTTTAATTTGCTCGAAAAGGTAAAATTTTATAAAAAATTACATTGGCTGTTTAAAAACTCTTCATTATAATCTCTGAAATGTGATAATTAGGTAAATTAAATTAAAAAAACAAATAAAAAAAATTTATTAAATTAATATTTACTCTTACAAAATAGGTTCTTGTAAGTTAACAATACCACAAGCAATTATGCATATATTACTATGTAAATGTACTTGCTTAAAATTTACACAGGAACGTGGTTTTAACATGTGAAATTCCCTAACCCTTCTTATAACTCTTTCCACATGTATTCTTAGAGATGCTATTCTTTTATTTAATTGTACATTTTCTGGAAAACGTTTTTCATTCAGTGATACACTAGGTGGCCTTACTAAAGTACATCCCAAGCTTTCAAGTAATGGCTGAATGTTGTTAAATCCCCTATCTGCCATTATATGGGATCCAGGAACCAGTTTGTTTAAATATTCACATTTTTCTATTATTTCTTTATCACTAATTCTTCCGGAAAATGATGAATAAATTTGCTATCTTTTTAGGTTATACACCTAAGAATTTATAGTAGCCTCATTTTGAATTTCCTGAAGGGGACAATTAACAGAAATTGCTGCTACATCTTGAATATCCGGTGTATTTTTATTAAAAAGTTGACGAGAAACATCGCTAGTAGAAGGTTGATTTTCTTCTTTCCAAATTTCTAGAAACACTAATAAATATTCTTGAAGATGAATATGAATCATTATCACATTCTGGAACAACACTTTTTCGTAGTCATAATATTTATGAAATGTACAAAATTAAACACTCAAATTCAAAATAAAATCTTGATCGGGATACTATGACAGATGACACACAGTGCTGCCGTTTTGTCATTTTCTGAATTATTAAGTGACTTTTAAAACAATGAAACTTTAAATATGGTAAAAGTTTAAACAGAAATAATATTTTCAAAAAACATTTGATATTATATATTTAAAAGATATTTGTTTAACAATGTTTTAGAAGTCTAAAAGTAAGAAGGAGTACACAAACGAAAATACATCACTTCTCGTAAACCTTCTAACCGGCAACGTTGTGGCGCTAGCTCCTGTTTGTCTATTCCCGGTGACAAATTAATAGATAAAAAAAAATGTGGCTTTATTTTCAACTCTATTATTCATAAAAAAAAATTTCAAAATTTTTAAACATGCTCCATTGGCGGAGTAATTCATTGGCATCGCCTCCTGCTAAGATTTTAGTGGCTTGTTAATATTATAGGAATGTAGGAATAATATTTTTAAACCAAACAATTCCCAATAAAAATTTTTACTTCTAGTAGTTAAAATATCCTATAAACATAGTTGCCTAAACGTTTACCGAACAATTCTATAATTGCTCCCTATAAATTTGCTCTTAGAACGTTCTTAAGACAGTCTTTAATGATAATTGTGCTGTATACAGCTAAGTAATACTTTATGTAACTCTAGCAGAACATTAGTACATGCGTAACAATTATACAATACCTATAGAATGCATTTACTCTAATACAATCAGTTTATAGGGGAATATTGTTGTTTGGGCGTCTCTATCTATAAAATAAACAAAAATATTAAACAAACTGTCTGAATAATTTTATTATCTTTATTTGCAGGCATATGAATACTGGATGAATGACATGTACCTCAATTATCGAGAACCAATACCAATAAATTCAAATCCAGGCATGGTATTCCCTCCAAGAAAATTCACCACAATCTTAGACGTTGCTCGATTTGCAGCGAGACTAATAGACGCCGCTCTGGACCACAAAGACATTCTGAATCGCAAAGCACTACCAGTTGAGAAAGCAGCTTCAAGGGAACCTGGCCAGCCGCTGTGCATGGCACAATTCTATAGGATTCTGGGAGCGTCTAGATTGCCTGGAAAGAAGAGAGATTCGCATTATGTATGTCCTATACCGAAAAATGGAGAACAACCGTCTGAACATATAATTGTTATATGTAGGAGTCAACTTTATTGCGTTCCTATTCAAGCAGGTAATACCTAATAAATTAAACCTGGAAGCAGCTATATCTAGTCTTGTTTCTCTTTTTTTTAAGGTGACAGAGGAAGGCTTACTGAAGACGAAATATGTTCACAACTTTTATATATTCTCGATGATGCTCCTTGTTTATCAAATCCACCTCCTATAGGTTTATTAACTGGTTGGAAACGAACCCTTTGGGCAGAAGCCAGGGAAGATCTGATGAAAGAGGAAAGAAACAGAAGAAATTTAGATCTTATCACAAAATCACTGTTAGTAGTTTGTTTGGATGAAGCTTTACCAAATTCGTTTAACTGTCGGTTACAAAGAGGTAATATACTTTTTGAATATCGATACTTATTTCTGATGAGTATAAAGGTACATAGGTATATAATTACTCTATTCTTAAAACATTTATACTATAGAGGAGAAGGTGCAAATATGGAATATGCTTGTAATATGGAATACCTTGGTTTTGGCTGGACCAAATGCCTAAATGTCTAAAAATAGCTTAAAAACTGAATGTTTGCGACTTTTATTGTATGCGATCTGCCGCGCGTAGTTTTAGTATGATTTCTCTTTACCAAGTTTGTAGATGTGAATTTCACATGCTGATAATTTTAACACGTAAGTAAATATGCAAGCATAATTTTTTTAATCGCATATTTTTGCCTAAATCCTACTATATAAAAGTGCCAATGTCTGTCTGTCTGTGCCGCGATCTCGGGATAGAGAAAGTTAGCGACACTTGGAGTAGCAAATTGACACCAAAATCATGGTACCTATTTTTGTGGTTTCCGAGATATATAATTCGGTCGAAAATTTAAATAAACGAAATCTCTACGGCCTACTATATTAAAGTGCCAATGTCTGTCAAATTACCGTTGTTTATCAACACACTTTTCAATCAATAAGCAATCAACTATTAAATTTCTCAATGAATCAACTTCCGGAACACCTGGATCAAGCAATTTAATTCTTGACGGTCACCTTGTAGGAGAAGTGATCACAATTTTAAATTAAGGCTGCGTTTATTCAAGAAGAATTTGCAGAACACTACGCGCCTTGTGTACCTTTTGAAATCTTATTAAAATATGAAGCATCGAAGACGCTCGGTCCTCCGGTTCTATGTGTTATGATGCCACTGTATATAATCTAAAATTTAAGATGAAGTTGTATTTGTTTGATGTTTTGTTATGATAGGCTAGATATAACGTCAAATAATGTCAAAAATATTGTCTGTAATATGGAATACTAGTACTTGCATCACGTTACCGTTACCATTCAAGAAGTCAAAACAATAAAAATTTCTGCTGTCTCTGTCGCAAAACCCTCCTGCTCTAAATCGTTGATTGCTCCTGTCGAGAAACCTTCATGCTCTACAATAACTATTATTACTCTGGTTGATAAACTTTCATGGTATTAAGCACCATTCGAAGATAATGCACCTGTAAGAAATCAAGTTGTTGAACAATACCAAGGTCAAAACTCAGCCTCAAAAGTTGATGTAGATTCAACCCAACAGTTTGTTGCACCGTTAGAAATATCTTCAGTTCCAAACACAATCTACTGTGATTACCTCGTCACTTTACAAAGACGAAGTAAATGAGTCAATAAAAAAAAATCAAAAGGGGGCAAAACGCGTAACGTTAAAAGAAACAAAATCCTCAAGAACAGAAATTGAAATACAAAACCAAACGTCATTTCGCTCCCAAAGTCATTTTCTCTCATTTTCTCAATAAACTCGGGGAATTGTCGGTGATTTAGCCCTGTGAATCTGATGAAATTAACAACTGATATGACTGGTTTTAGAAGGACTGTTGATGAATGATACAATGTACCATCATTTTCTACAGCCTTTGACACAAAAAGTGCAACCACTCCTTTATTTTTACCACATGTTTTTGCCTCCATCAGTTGTATTTATTTCAAGTTTTTCCATCGAAGATGATGGTATTTTTAACTCCCTTAAAAATATCTTTTCCCCAGTAGTCGTGCCACTATCAATATCGAGATGTTGAAATGCTAATTTAATTCCTTAATAGCAATCAAGAATGCAATGAATTTACTTTCGTTGACTACAGAGATGTAAGCTCCAGACCACGAAGCTTCCGACTAGAAGAGCTATGATATCTTGTGTCGTGATTCGGTAAAGTGATTCAATTAATAGTTAGTTAAGTTGATTTAAAAAAAAATTGCGTTATTTAAACACTATGAATGGTAAATATTTTACTGCAAACCGAGAATAGTTGATTCTAAAAAAAATATTAATAGATCATTTGTCTTTCAACAATTATAAAATTTAAATGCTTTTCCACTTATCAAATATTAATTCAACAGCCAATGTCTCCACAGTGGGAAAAATTAAGGAGAAAAAAAATTGTAATAAACTAATTTTATAGTCTTACTACATATATTAATATATTTTGGTTGCAAATATCTGTTCACAAAAAAATTAATTACTTTCGGAAAGTTTTATAGAAAGATTTTTATGAAAAAGTTAGATCCGAAAAAATTTAAACTCGTATTTATAGGAATAAATTCGAATTTTTTAGCTTGTTCAATAAATTCGTCAAAAGGGAATGAAATTTTAGCAAAAAAAATTATTTTACAATTTTATATTTGACTAATTCTAAAAACAAAATACATCTAATAACAATTTGTTCCAAAACTTTTAGTTCTGTTGCTTAATTGCGAGTAAAAAATAACATTTAGACACAATCCAATAAAAACAAAAATTCTTTAACCGCTAGTGGCTAGTTCTTTTTTTCCTGATTTATAGACGGGTGTTATTACAGATTCTATAAATGATATTGGTATTTTGCCAGTGGTTAATATTTGGTTGAAAATGTGTGCTAACGGGTTTAAGATGTAAGGGTGTATATTTTTAATTGTAGTTACCGATAATCCATCCAGGCCACTTGCCGATTTATTTTTTAATAGTGATATATGCTTTATTAATTCGTTGTTTTTAATGGGGTACATAAACAGAGAATTGCCACTAGAATTATGGATTATAGTTTTAGTAGAAGCAGTTATATTAGGACTATCGATTTTTTTTATTATTTTATTACCTATTTCTGCAAAAAAATAATTAAATACATTTGCTTTAGTTTTATTACATTTAACTTTTTCTCCCTTTTCATTTATGATATTGTTATTTTCTTTTTTGTTATTTTTTTCTATGTTAGATACCTGTTTTACTGTGTCCCAAATTTTTTTATAATTATTTTTTGCTTTTGTAATTTCAGATTGGTAGTAATTATTTTTTACTTCTTTATATAATTTGGTTAAAAAATTTCGGTACCCTTTGGTATTCTTGCAGAAGTTCATTACTATTTTTATTCCTAAGATGTTGTTTTTCTAGGTAATCTCTACGTCTTATAGATTTAATTATGCCCAAGGTAATCCACGGTTTGATCTTATAATTTTTATTATTGTTTCTATTAATTTGTTTAATATTTTTAGTAATATGTTCTTGAAGTAGTTTAATAAATTCATTATAGCTTTGTTCAGTATCATTACTGTTAAAAACGTTAATCCATTTTTCAGACTACAGATCTCTGTATAATGTTTCATAATTAATTTTGTTGAACTGCCGAATATTATTTTCATTTAATTTATTATTTTTTTTATTACTAATCGAAATAAATGTGGTATACTGATCCGTTATATTTGTCTCAAATAAATATGGCTTAATATTAGTTTTACTTTTTATTTTATTATCTAAACCTACAAAAAAATGATCTATGCAGGTATTTGTTTTTTGCCTCGTTACTACGTTTATATAATGAAAAAGACCTTGTTGATTTAATACATTTAAGTAAGAATCGACTAAGTTATTCTCCCCGGCAACTAATATATCAAAGTTAGTATCTCCAGCAAATATTTCTATCTCAGACTTTTGTAAATTTAAAAAATAATTTTCTAAATCGTTAATAAATTGTTTGGCGTTTATAGACGGTGGTCTATAACATGCAGTAACTGCATAATTTGTGCCATTTATTTCACCTAATAGTCTTAAGACACTAACTTCGCTAAATTTGAATATGTTCACGTTAACTTCTAAGTTATTATTAATATAAAAAAGTGTGCCATAATTTTTATTATACGTTGATTCACTATAGTATATTGTAAAATTTGGAATTGCAAAATGTTTTACTTTATCAATTACATTAAACGTTTCAGAAAGTATTATTATGTCCAATTTTTCAAGCCCAAGTATTTCTAGATTAATGACTAATTCATCAAAATTTTTCCTAAGTGATCTTATATTGTAATGAACTATGTTTATTTCAAAACATTCACAAACATATAAAGATCTTGGCGACACTGCCTGTTTCTACATGTACTCCTGAGAGGACTTTCTCTTCTATGAAACCCCTCAAAACTTATTTGAGAAATTCCACAGTCTAGGAAAGACTTAACGGTTTGGCGTTAATGTCAATCCATCGCAGAAGTGACATCGACACCGGGGAGGTAATTGATTTGTTCGCTGAAGACTAAATTTAATTTTGTAATAAGGTGTTAATATTTCTGTAATGGTTTTCTAATAAATATATATGATAAGTAACACCATTTTATTTCTTTTATTGAAACGATTTTGTTTTTCTACTGTTCCACTAAATCAAACCCCCCTTCTTTTCCGAAATTATTTTCTGGCTACGGCCTTAGCTCGCTTAGAGCGCGTGCTGGGCGACTAGTCTAGAAATTATAGATAATTGCAGAAAAATTAAAACGATTTTGGCCCTTGGAACTTACTGAAGTAATCAGTATGGCCCTAAGGCTGGAAAGTTTGGTGACCCCTGTTTTAGATGATTATATATTTGCTTTCTTACATTTTTGTTCTTTATATAGGTACAAAACAAAATAGTGTTCTATATTTGTACTTTCTCCTCTACACTTTTCTCGAAAAAATGCCTGGTAATATTTTCTGAGAAAATAAACATTCTTTAGAAAATAATAATTATTTAAAATCACACCAACTATCCTTATTACCTTATAAATTATAATTGTTTTTGTTTTAAGGAGGAAAAGGCCATATGACATCGACACGAGACGAAACAAATCTATCCCATCAAATGTTACATGGAGGTGGAAGCACCCAAAACTCAGCAAACCGATGGTTCGATAAAACAATTCAGTTAGTTATCTCTGGTGACGGAGCTTGCGGTCTTTGCTATGAACATTCTAACGCCGAAGGAATTGCAGTAATCCAACTAGCAGAAACACTATGGAAGCACGCGGACTCTTTCACTTGTCCTTGCGAAGTTCCCGCCACTTCCAATAGCCATCTACCGCCGCCGGAAAGACTAGAATGGTTACTAGAAGCTACTGACCATAAAAGAATAGAAGAAGCTGCAATATATTTAGATAATTTAGTCAAAGATCTGGATTTTCAAGTCTTCAGGTTTATCGGTTATGGTAAAGAGTTTATAAAATCATGCAAAGTTAGTCCTGATGTTTATATCCAGTTAGCATTGCAACTGGCTTATTATAGACTTTATGGAAAGTTAACAGCAACTTATGAGAGTGCGTCTACTAGGAGATTCCGTTTGGGAAGGGTAGATTGCATTAGATCAGCTAGTCCCGAGGCTTTGGAATGGGTCAAAGCTGTGTCACAGCCAAAGGATGACGATGAATCGGGGAATAAAAAGGTAATATCTAGATTTTTTATTTTTTATTTGGAATGCATTTGGAAGAAAAATGTACAATTTTTTTTTAAATTTGACTTCTTTAAGAACTTTATGACTTTCTACTAAAATCTCTCCGATTCTTGTTGTCATAACCAAAGCTATCCAGACTGCGTGTTGACTTCGCCTCCAAAAAGTAACGGAAGATTTTTTTCTGGCAGTATTATTTAATATTTTTCCTTATCACCTTATGTTCTGGATGTGATATTCTCATATTTAAAATTATAAGTTAGGTTTTACATAAATATTTGATGAACAAAACCAACCATTCTGTGGGATATCCAACAAATAATATTGCAGTAAATTCCCAACAATTATTTATTATAATAACAACTCGATTTAAATTACAAACGAAACTGAAGTGGGATAAGCAAGCATTTGAAAATATAAAATGTGTTTCCCGAAAAAACATTGCAAAAAAATACGTGTGGTATTCGGAGACTGCCGCGGTAAAGCTATTGCATAGCATTTTTTATCAACTTATGCAATTATAATTATATTTCGCATATTTGTTTTCCAAAATATAAACACACTGTAGTATATTTTCGGTATATGGTTTAACAACGTTTAAAGAGATAACTTTTTTCCCATCGGTATGCCGTCGAGCCAGTCTGTGAATCATAATTTATCGTTGTGCGAAAGTGTTCACATCGTATCGGTGCCAGTTAATAAAATAATTATTTAATTTAAAATAAACGTGAAAATGCCAAAAAGGCCAGGGAAGTCTTCAAAAAATGCCAAAAGGAAGTTATTGAAATTGTTGGAAACACTAGAATCTACAACTTCTGATTCTAAAAGTAAGTAAAATATTTTTTATGCAAAATAGATAACAAAGCAGAAAATGAACACGCAGTAATTTTACTTTATGTCAATTACATAATATATCACTAGTGGAGAGTATGGCGAGCCTGAAGATGAAGTGATGACACTTCGAAACCGGTCGCACTCAATGTTTTGTTAAATAATTAAACATTGACTTTCCTTGTGAGATATAAAGGACTTTTTCTCCCCCTTCACCTTAAAAAAAAATATCTCCTCGTGAGCCTATGTTTTCTAAATTAGACCATAAAAATATTAAAACCAAAATTGACAAACTTCTAAAATTAGGTGCAATACGCAGATGTAAATGTAACCAAAATCAATTCATTTCTAAATACTTTTTAAGAAAAAAACCAAATGGTTTCTTCAGGTTTAACCTAAATCTTAAACAACTGAATGCATATACTTTACCTCCTCATTTCAATTAGAAGATCATCGAGTAGTTCAAAATATTCTATATATTGCTACATGGCATCTTTAAATCAATAGATTTTTTTAGTCCCAATAGTTAAACGGTCGTCTAGGTAAATTACGGATATTTTATTTTTTATTCGTAACTTCAAGATCACTGGTTTAAGTAATTTGGTGAAAAATTTTTATTATTAAATATAAATCTTAAGTATTTCCTATGTAAAGATTTATCTTTACCTTTGTCCGGCAGTTACATATGTGTTTTTACACATTAAATTATTTGAATATTACAAGTATATCGCTTTAAAAAAAGAGGGTGTGATTATCTTTCCCAAATGCAACTTCATCCTACACTCAAATCAGATTTTAACTGGTGAGGAACTGGATCTGGAACAAAATAAGGAACTGGATCTGGAACAAAATAAGGAGCTGGTTCTGTGACAAGCTAAGGAGTTGGCCTTTGTAATATGGAACTGCAGAATCATTGCCAGCTAGTTGCCACTAGAGCTGCGGAATATCTTGGACTGAGTTGCGTAAGGAAATTCAGTGTTTTGAAGTCATCGTAGGCTCACCTACCATTAAGAAAAGGAACTGCAGTGTTTTGAAGTCATCGTAGGCTCACCGCTCACCTACCATTAAGACACGGACCAGACCAGTTCGACCGTTGAAATCCGGAAACACAAGATAAGTGTCGGCCAGGATCACACACACAATTTTGAGTCACTAGTCAATTTTAATTTTAAACTCATCATTAGTCAAACGTAAACCGTAAAATGTGTTAAAATCAATTAATTTTATTTTCTTTTATATGTAATATCAGTCATCAGTCAAGTTCGAAATTAAAGCCGATTAATTGTTTTGAAATTTAAGTTTTTTTTTTTTTTTTTTTTACTTTCAACTGACAAGTTAATGACAAAAATTTACTTTTATTATACATCTAAAGGTATGGCGCCCAAATTAATTTAATTGAATTCTTTTAAGTCTTTTTAATTAAAGACCTTGTCATTGACTTGAAGGTAAATTCTAAACGAATCCCACTGACCTATTTTGATCTGAGCTAGGCCTGAGGCTTGTAAGAATTCTTATTATAAGGATTTTTACAATGAGACCCAGGTAAGGGTTAGAAACGTATCATCTGGTGCAAAATATGTTTTTATAAAACGTTTATTAGTAAAACGTAACATTTGGTGATAAATTTGCAAAATTGTAAACATTTTTTCAAAATTTCCGTGTTTGAATTACAAATATTTACAGGCGCTTCAAATACGGGAAGGTTAGCAGTGGCAAATAACGAAAGTACTGGGGGAAACTGGAATCAAAACAATTTAAAACGACAGATTAATTATTTAGAACTACTTGCATCTTATTACGGTTTAAAATGTTTTTCGAAAAATTTAAGAAATTGCAGGATTTTGTTGCGCATCGACAACACAACAGCCATATCTCTCATAAATAGAATGGGTAGTGTCAAGCATTATCATCTTAATGATATAACTCGTCAAATTTGGAGATGGTGCGAAGAAAGACACATATTAATTTTTTGCTTCCTATATAAACACAAAGGAAAATATCGCAGACAAATAATCAAGATACTTGGCTAAGGATACAGAATATTCGTTAAATATCTTGGGAAAATTGTTTTTTTTATGCTTTTCCACCTTTTTTAATGATCCTTCGTGTGCTTAATAAGATTATATTAAATCAAGCCAGAGGTATAATAGTAGTGCCTTACTGACCAGTGCAGCCATGGTACCCTCTATTTATAAAATTACTTCGGGTATTCTCGGGTCCATCACAAACATTACTCTTATCTCCTTTCAGTCAGCCACATCCTCTGTCTCATAGCCTTATTCTGGTTGCAATTATGTTATCTGGAGAAATGTCAAAATCGACAGTTTCTAGATATATTGTAAAAAAAAAGGCTTAAAATATAGAAAACGGACAAAATGTCCAAAATATAACGAGGCCCAACTTCGAAGGATTCCTTATTGTTGCCGCTTGTTACGTCTTCGTTATTTTGTGAACAACAGAAAGATTATACTGGATGACGAAAAATATTTTACATTTTCGCATGCCGACCTACCAGAAAACTCAGGTTTTTATACAGATAACATTGAAAATACCCCCGAAAATGAAAATACAAACCAAAGGCCCAGTTTGCGGAGAAACTGTTAGTCTGAATTGCATTATCGGAAAATGGTTTGTCCAGGCCCTATGTAGGACGTGTTAGAGGCCCTGCAGTGGATCAATTTTATTAGAGAACATCATGCCAACGACAATATCATGTTTTGGCCGGACTTGGCGTCGGCTCATTATGCTAGAGCCACATGTGAATGGTTAAAAGCTCAAAATGTGCCATTTGTGCCTAAGCAGGACAACCCCCCGAACGTTCCCCAAGCAAGACCAATAGAGACATTTTGGGCAAGATTGTCAAGCAAAGTTTATGAAATTGGCTGGGAAGCTCAAAACGAGCAGCAGCTGCGGCATAGGCTATTCCAAAAAATTAGGAAGTTTGATGTTGAAGAATGCCAAACCCTAATGAGACGCGTCAGGATAAAATTGCTCCATATCGAAGAAAATGAACCCCTAGCGGTGCTGTAATAGTTTTTATTTATTGTTTAGGAACCACTTTGTACGTAGTATTATGAGGGATAAATACATTTTTAAAATATTATTTTATGTCTTTAATTTTTTTCCCAAAACTTTTGGGACACCCGTAAGCTTTGACATTTCGTGTAATTAGCGGGATGATCACTTTCACAATCGACACATATTGCTGGTGTTTCTTGAGTCTTGTTACATGTTAGTATGTGGTGATCACCCATACACTTCAGGCATTTAAAGGGTCTGCCACAATTCGCCGTTGCGTGCCCCCATTGCGTACAGTCATGACACTGGATTATAAGTTTGGTGGATTTTCGAAGTTCCCAAGTGACTCTACTATAAAGAATTCTTTTTTTGTTTTTATTTAGGTAATCCAATGTCAATACCTGGTCTGTAACTACCAGAAACAGGGGACGTTCCTTAGTTCTAATCTGGTAGACGGCTCTCGCCTTGATGTCATGTTCCTTCTCCAAATGTTCCTTGTTATCCGAGATTTTTGTGCCTTCTGCTAGTCCCCTTAGCCCAATGGCATCTGATTTGTCATCTCAATGCGTATATGTGGAATGGAGCATTTTTTCTGATTTTATGTATGCTAAAACCTTGTGATAATCTACTTTGTTTTCTACAAAAATGATCGTTGTATAATTTGCGTGTGTAAGGCTGAAGTCTCCTTGATTGGCTGTCTTACCGTCGAGGACAATTGGTAGCATAGTATTTTCATTATTGTTGTAACTATGTTTGTTTATTTGTTTGTTTGTTTGTTTGTTTGTTATTTTCGCATTGTTATCTTTATCATGTGTATCACTGAAGCTCTCTTGGCTGTTCTAGTAGTCAAGATCATCAGAATCCGCACTTGGCGGCTTTCTGGAAGCTGTACTCTTGTCTTCAAAAGTATTTTTTCGGTTTTTCAACTCTCACAAGTGTTTGAAGGTCATTTGGAGGTGAAACTTCAATAATTTTGGCCTGTTGGGCCCCTGAATCGGGCAGCTAACCCCTGGATTATTGGTTACGGTAGTATTGAACCTTTTACTTATGATTGTTTGTCTTAGTTTCAGTTTTGCCTTAAGATACTTAACAGTTTTAATTGCTGCTACTTCATCCTTATTAAGCCGGCATCTGTTTTTAATTGTCCTGGTGCAGGCTGTTTTAAAGCCTTTTGGTAATTTGGGAAGCCCGGAGGGCTCCGACATTCATTTCTAAATGCCGAAACTTGATTGTACTATACCTGACGTGTAAGCTAAACCTTTGAAAAATGAAATGTTTGACGAAATTTTCATCGACAACTGACAGCTGAAGTTTTGTTTGATAACTTTCTACGGGTATCGAGACAACTGTTTCCAACAGAAGTTCTAGGTGTACTGTCTTGTAAAAACAGTGATAAGAAATGTTTTTACAAATAAAAGGCGGTATTCTATTATTATTATTTTAATTTTATTATTTATAATATTTTGTGACATTCTGACAGTGAAAATGCCGCCCCTAAAATTTGTCCGGCATTGGAGCGGGCCGTGGCTGGGGTTAAAATAATTACATTGGAGCATAGTGCATACCACGTTACCCTTTAGAAATAGATGAAATTCATGGACCACAAACACCACAAATCGTATGCAGTCTAATTGCTAGCAAAACGGTACTATTATTAATTTTTGTCTAAATTTTCAGGTAACATTTCACTTAGTCAGTGACGAAAAAAAGATCCTACTATGGAACGAAGCGGTCGCCGTCCAAACCCAAGAAATGGTAGATAATATCCTCGGACAAGGTATAGACATACATATCCTAGGTTTAAGAGAAGCTGCTAAAGAAACTTCACCAACCGCCTCATCGCCACTGCCAAAACTCTTCACAGATCCATCTTATAGGTTAGCAAATAAATTTCTCTTATCGACAAGCCAAGTAGCAACGAACACAAACAGCTTTATGGGATACGGTCCCGTGGAATCCGATGGGTATGGGGCTTCTTATAATCCTAAGAGTGATTGCATTATATTTTGCTTGTCTGCTTTTTGGTCATCAGAGGTCACTAGCACTTCTAAGTTTGCTCAATCTTTGGAAGAAAGTTTAAATATTATGCAAAGTTTACTGACTAGACCTACGTGAAGTGCAGGTATAGATAAATCATTTTCTTCATATTTTGAGTCAGTATTGAACGATTGAAGCATTGGTTATAATTCGAAAGAGTTCGTGTTGAGTGAGTCATTTTTAACAAATTTGATGGAGCTAACAATAAATGTTGTTTAAGTAAAATTATTTATGAAATAAATATACGCATACGCACAGTATTGATTTTAAAATTTTAGCAAAACAAGATTGTTGAAAATGTATGTATTGCAGAAATGATAGAGGTACTTGAAAATATACAAGAAAAATAGATGTATATTTAAATTGACAGACATACGCAAGTTTCTATATTACTATTAATGGTGATTAGATTCAAAGAAGGTCATATTAAATTAATTTAAAATTATAATAACTGTCAGTTTTAGAATTATCGCGTAAAGAATTTATTGTTCAAATTCTGAAAAGAAAATATATAGAATTGTTGTACTAAAAATGAATGGATTTGTTTTTTTGTTATTTTGAATAATTATGTTTTTACTTGTTATTTTTAGAAATAATTTCTAAAAAAACCCGCACCAAATATATTAAAAAATGGCTCCTAATCACATTTTACTATTTTTTTTTTAATGTTGTGTAACAAGTCACTAGAAATTTAAATCACTTTCTATGAATTTGAAAATCAAAAAAATTACTGTTTTTGTTGTAAATGAAGAAGAATTTACTAAGAACTGGTTCAAAAGAAACGAATATTTTCAGTTTTTATTAATCTATTTTTCTGACAACTCTTTACAATCTTTCAAACATTAACATATCCTTTCAAAAAAAACTATGACTTTAATATACAGGGTGGCTCACGCTCAACGGGACAGAGCTTTATGGGAAAACGACCAAAGATATAAAAAATTCGTTTGGGAGGAATACGTAGGCTACAATTTAAAATTTGTTAGATGTATACAGGATGTCCCACATAAGAGAAAATATACAAAGGTATATTATTTTTAATGGAACACCCTGTTTTTTACTTTAGAATTAAAAACTACATTAAAAATAATGTCAGTTAACTAAAGGTTCCCTATTACTATTATTATTAGTTTTCGATTTATTTGAATTTTTAAGGAAAAAAAGTCTCCCAGAAATTAATTGTTTACTCTTGTTTGAATAATTTTTAATGAACTAATTTTTTTTTTCTTATGTGGGACATCCTGAATACATCTAACAAATTTTAAATTGTAGCCGTCTGTAACCTACGTATTCCTCCCAAACGAATTTTTTATATCTTTGGTCGTTTTCCCATAAAGCTACGTCCCGTTGAGCGTGAGCCACCCTGTATAGGATAATTTTCTATTTTCAACATTCTCCCACCTTTGCAATAAACTTATTGCAAACTTAATAAAATCATCAGGTATACTGCAATTTTTCAGGAACTTCAATAGTTCACCCAAATCTTGAAAGCGTCTTGAGATTTATTTCCATTTTTTGTACCTTCTTCATCTTTGTTAGTCTCTTCGCTAAATGTTGATTGGTTTTTCCTTTTTCTTTATCTATTTTAAATATTTCTTCTGTATTAATTTCCGAGCTTTCCTTAATTTCCAATAGATAGAGATGCTGCAAGGATCGAATAAGGTATCTCCCTTCACATTTTAGTTTAGCTACTCTTGTAATACCGTCTTTTGTAGATCTGTTTCTTGTGAGTAAACTATTTCAGAATTGGGCCAAAATTGTGTTTCTTGTCTTAACCATTTTGGACCCTTCCACCATTGACTTTCTAGTAAATGTTTACCTCCATAACCTCTGGATGGTAGGTCAGCTGAGGATTTAATTCTCCCGGCACGTGATACCTGTCATCCGTATTACTATAGGTACATATTTATTTTACACGGTTTCCTACAAAGGTATTCAAATTTTCCTGTGTCCTAATCCATTGAATCAGTCAAATAATAGGTTTTTACATGCTTAAAATATTCTACTTTTTTAATCTTACTCCAATGAGAGATGTCATCAACTCTTGTCTAGGAACAGTCCATTGGTTTGATCGGAGCAACTCTTGATTTTGCCTGTAAAAGCTGTACAGATACTGTTCCATCTCTATGTTCAGCGCGAAAAAATATACATGTGGCAAAGGCTAACTTACTTGAGTCACAAAATACGTGCAAACTAGTCTTAATGACATTGTCCAAAAAGAAAGTACAAAATTTTATAGGTATATGTATTAGACTGATATAGGAAATTTGTTTTTTCCACTAACAAAATTGTTTTAGAAGAGGTTCAGGCAGCTCTTTGTCCCAGTAGGGTCAAAAATTTTCTGCGCTAATGATAGAAGTCCTCCATTTGTAACTGAAATATCTTGTATCTGTCTTAGAGAATCGACATCACAGAAAAGTTCATCTTCCCTGAAATCCCATGACACTCCTAAAACTTTAAAAACCGTAACATTTTCATTTTCAATGAGTTTTGAATGTTTGGTAATCTATAAACCCACCCTCGCAATTCAGACCGAGCTTCATTCATAAGCTCCGTTGATTCTTTTATAAACTTTTTTAAATCTTCAAAGGTATCATCTACACTTGTGATACAGTTGTGGCGACATAGAATGAATGTTTTAACTTTTCTTCTGTGTTTTTAAGATGTTCCGGTGCATTATCTAAATTATGTGTTATCGTGGCCGCTAATAAAAATGCACTAGACGATACGCCAAATACTACCCTTCGGTGTCTATACATTATTCGCTTATTTGTAGAATAATTCTACCACCATAAAAATCTGGGGTATTCACTGTCCTCTAGAGATAAATTAAACTGTTAAGAGTTTTTGTCTAAATTGCAAAAGAACTGAAGGGATTTCTTCAATCAGGTTAGGTCCTTTTTCCAGACAATCATTAAGAAAATGACCCATTCTGTCTTTGGCCGAGGCACCAACAACGGGTCGAACCTTTGTCGTGGTACTGGAAGACATTAGCCATTATTATTCCACTGTTCCTCTAGTACCTTTTCAATAATACCAAGTCGGAGCCATTCTTTAAAAACTGCCTCGTAATCAGAAAATCTGTTATTATTTATTAATTTTTTAGTAGTAGTGATTAATCTTGTTTATGCTTGATCCAAATTGATATGTAAATCAGGGTGACCATCAATCCATGAAAGATAAACCTGATACCGTTTATCTTTTTGTTGAATAATTTTTTAAACCTTTCTAGTACACCCTCATGTCTTTTTTCTGTCGGTATATTCTCTGCAGTATCTTTAATCCCTAAAAGCTCCAAATTCCAGAAATCTGCATTGGTAAATTCAGTGTTTAGGAAAGATAAAACTAAATTACAATTATCATAGTGATAAGATTTTCCCATAACTGTCCAACCGAGATGGGTCTTGATTGCAACCAAATTGTCATTAATACTTTCGATAACTCCTATGTAAAGGTTTCCAATGATATCCGCTTCTAAAAGAAGTTCTATTTCTAGTTATTCAAACTCGATGTCATAAAGTACAATATTCTTCTTTTTTAAATCAGCAATAATTTGTTCATTTCTTAAACATGGAATATTAGAACATATTTTTGTCTGATAGAGGACTGAAATATTAAAATGGACTGACTTGTCAAAACTATGTACGGAAATGTTGTAAATAGGGTGATGGTATGATGGTTTCTTGACCAACGTTTTAAGGACCCCACTCACTTTGTTTTTCTCCGCCGTTTTTAACCGACGGTTGAAAACGTCGGGGTAAAAATGTCAGAAAAACGAGGTGTATGGGCAAGGACGTCGTTTATGAACGTCGTTTCAAAATTTCAGGCGAGGCTTGATTTTTGTCAGTTATCGGGCCAACCGTTCGAGTAAATACGAGGTGTGTGTTCTCAACAGTTTGACTGGTCGGGCATTTATCAGTGGCAGTGACGTTCAGCATGTTTTTGTTGTTTATTATTATTTACAACTGGTTATAATAAAAATGTCGAATATTAGGCACTGGAACAGAGACTTTTTATTAGAGTCTATCGAGCTTTATAGATCATTTCTTTGCATGTGGAAAGTTAAATCGGCGTAATATCATGACCGAATCAAGAAAAACAAGGCGTATGAAGCATTACTGGTGATATACAAAAAAAGGGGATGCTGATGAAACAGTTAAATCAGAGTAGCTGTTAGGCGTTCGTGAGGACTGATGCACTTACGTAAATGGGTATTATGTCTCTCAATTAACGGTGTTACTAGTTTTACCAGTTTCCGATACGTATCCTCATCCATCCTTAAGTAATTGTGCCAGTCGCCAGGCTCCAATCTTAGCTCCTCCAATAAATTTGTATGTGACAGTGTACTGCGTTTAAGTAGCCAGTTTTTAGTCCATTTCCTTCGAGATTTTCTTTTTTCTAGATTTCGACAATGTCTCTTGCAACAGATCTTTCTTGGGTTACTTGTATAAGATACTGAAACTTGTCTTCCCTCTCCATCTTTTCATCCTTGTCTATTTTCTTAAATTGACCAAAAAATCTTATTCAGTTCTTTGCTTCACCATTAAATTTCTTTAGTTTTCTTTTTTGTTTCAATTGTACGCACTGCTATTTATACTATGTGCTTCAATTTGTTATGTTTCTTCTTCACAAATTCTTACATATTTTCGCTTGTACTTTATGAATTCTTCCCGATAAATCTCAGTTGTTTCTACTTCATGTTCTATATCTTCTACTGCTTTGTCATCATTGAACAGTAAATCTTTAATTTTATCGTCTAGAAGGATTAATCTGTCTACTTTGCTCTTCAATCCATCCATTATATACACTAACTCTGGTTAATCCAGACTAGGTTCACTGTATAAGACGTCAAGTTCTCTACACGTCTTAGTGAACAGTCTTCCTAAAGCAGTTCTTTCTTTCTTCAAACCATTGAGACCCTTCATTATAAATCCTGTCACGGTCAAAAGAAACGAATATTTATAGTTTTTATCAATCTACTTTTCTGAAAACTCTTTACCATCTTTTAAAAAATCCTATGACAATTTTTTTTATTTTTTAATATATAGGATGATTTTCTATTTTCAACAGTTTTTCTA